TTGTTATTATATCTATATTTATATATATGTATATATGAGTCATTCAATTTTAATATTTTTTTAGTTCACTAGTTGTAGTACGATTTCACTAAGTGTAGAGATCATGGCGAGTCGTTACACAAATAATACTATTTTTAAAAAAATTTACCCAAATAATAACTATGCAAATTTATTTCCCCAACTAGCACTATTTACTATTCACGTTCAAAACGGGCCATTCTGAAATCAGAAAGAGCCATTCCGGATTAAAAAATAACACATGGAAAATGGATCAGAACGGTTCGTTCCAAAATCAAAATTTGCACATATAAAGTGCAACCAGAACGGGCCGTTTTGCATCCAGAACACGTCGTTCTAGCCTATAAATAAAAAAAAATTTGTTTGATTTTCACTTATCAAATACCAAAACTCAGAGACTACCATCAAGTGATTAAATTTATTGAATATTAACATTATAAATATAACTAAATAAATTTATTAAAATTCATTACAACAATAAAGATCAATGGTGGCGAAAACTGAATTCATGACCAATATTTGGATATGTCTTCCTAGTGTGACCAGGGGTGTGACAATAGGAATAATTTTTTACACGATTATGTTGTTCTCTATGTTCATCTCTGTTCTAATCTTGCTAGACTTTGGCCGACCCTTGAAAGTTCTCTTGAGTTCTAGATTTGGCCACAAAGTTGAAAGAAACGCAACATCCGAGAAAATTTTGACCCGCTGGGAGATTTATAGTAAGGCTAAATGAAATACGGTATGATTGCAGTAAGTTCCAGAAAGGTATATGAAGGACAGTTTGGAGAGCTCCGACATGAAGATTATTGGCCTACTTACACTGGTTGATGGAATCGTGCTTAGGAAGGCAAGAGGAGACATCCTAAAAGAGCCAAGAGGAGTGGGCTAGACATGAAGGCTTGGGCCAGTGAAGGTCCAATGGGCCTGATGGGCTTGGAAGGTCCAAGGCAAGCTTCACATGGGCCACATTCTATGTTTTGTAAATAACATGTTAGTATAGGTTTGGACCTTTGGGCTTGTATTGTATTTTGGGCCTTGTATTTTAGCCACTTAGACTAGGGATTTCATTTCATGGTCATTTGAATTTAGGGTTACATGTGTATAGTCATTTGAATGTAATTAGCATAGCATTTGGTATGCATTTCGGCCATGTGCACACATGCACATGGTGTGACCGAAATGCTACTCAAATGGATGCCAAATTACATCCCAAATGAGTGCACATGGGTGGATGACCGGGTTGGCTCCAAAATTTAAATTTTGAATTCAAATTTTGGGCGCCTAAGGTTAAGTAAACCATACCATGGTTTTCACTTAACCTTAGGCTAACCCATGGTTTACCTTAACCTAATTTTCTCTATAAATTCTAGTTGACCGAGAATTGTAAACACTTTTGGATATAAGAATGAGTTTTTCACCATTTGAAAACCTCTCCCTCCGAAAGTCACTCAACCTACCCTGTTAGAAAAGAATGGCCAAATCCAAGAGGGGGGTGAATTGGATTCAATGACCCTTTAAAAATTTATCAGAGTTTTTGGATCTTCACTTTCAATTACAAACTTTTCTATGACAGAATTCTCACTTGAAGCACTTCTCAAGACTTGTTATGATAATATGAATGCAATATGCTAACTTGATTACAACATCATGAGGTTCATCAACAATGTTCAATTTACAGATTTAAAACATCAAGAATTACATTCACTTGTTAATCAAATTTTATCTTCCTTAAAACTCAATCAAGAAATTACAAAACAAGAGATAAGGTTGAAGAAGATT